TATATATATATATATATATACACACACACACATACACACACACACATATATATATATATATGTGTATATATATAATACATATATTTCAATATATATACTTATATATATGTGACGTGATTGTCAATGAACTCGCGCGCTCGTCGTCTGCGTCGCATTAACGACGACGTAGATCGTATTTGTATCGCGCATTCAATTCTCCGCACTCGACGAAGCTTTAACCCTTTCTCGCCAGAAAGTGCGGTGTATATATATCTCTCCGTTGCCCCGTTCATGTATCTCTGTTTTTTCCTTTCCGCTTTATTTCTTTGTTTCCACCCTACGTTCACATTTCTCGGCTGATTCGCCGCGAGATGTCGGTATAAAAATTACGGTACATGGTGAGGATGGGCAGAAGGAGTAAACAAGGACTCACAAATTGCTATATTCACCTGTTCCGTTCTCCCCGCTCGGCCGGATGCGCGCATCGTATCGGCCTGGTCCTAGGATGTTGTCGAGCACTTGCTTCTCTTTCTCCCGAAAGTTCACTTTTGGCTGCGTACATCTGGAAAAATGTACCAACGATGTCGTCGGTATTACAAAAAGAAAAAGAAATCTAATTTCCGAAGAGAAAATTTCTCAATGCCCTAATTTTCTCGCCATAAAGAAATTATAAAAATATACAGCGATAATAATTGTAGCGGTATTAAAGATAAAAATATATAATAATAACAATTGTAACAGTTAAATATACAATAATAATAGGTAATGACAGTTCTGTTGAAGTATTTCAAAATTTAGCTAGATATATATATGGATCTGAAAGTAATTTGATTGGATTCTAAAAATAATTATGTAGGACGTCCAAATAGATAGGTAGAAAGTTAAAAACGTGTTATTCATGCTTGAGTTTCTTGTATAATTATTTTGATGAATCCAGAGAACTATTTTCGAAACTGTATCTACGTAAATTGTCAGATATTTTTAAAAAAATCATTATTTCCATGTAGAGGATATATTTCTTTCTGTCCTTTTTTTAAAAAGTTTGTGTCAAATTTATTTATAACTTTATCGTATTTCTAATCGTAATGTACGTATTTTAATGTATGTATCTTGTATAAATCGTACATGTAATATATATATGTATATATACTTCATGTATGCATTCAGAATCTTTAAATATCTTTTGTTATTACACGGCACATAAAGATATAAATAAAATTCTATCCCGAATTTTGATGCAAATTATACAATAAAACACATTTAAAGTGGTTTTTAAAAAATACACACTTGGCAAAAATACAAAATCGTTCTTCCAAACATTTTTATATTATTTCTCAAATTCTGTTTCGTTCAATTCTGCTCGCGCGATAAAATTTCGAAAGTGACACACGTCGGTCCGCTCCATAAACGTTCCTTCCTTATAAGCTTTTATGCATCATAACAATAATCCCGAGTGGGTCAATAACATATATCTTTACGAGCCACAGCGTTCTTTCTCAGGATTATGTTTCCATCGCTAGAAACCCTCTCGCGAAATCTTGACTTGACGTCGTTCCAAAAAAGCGTATAACTGTTTTATTATTAATTCAGACGACATATAACACAGTTAACTGCGTACGAACCAAATTTGCATGAAGCAACTACCAGCGACAACAATTTGACACACTCGTCGATGAAACAACTTACCTCGATGGATGCAGCAGCACCGCTAGTAACACCAGTAATAGTGGTACTCCAGGCCACATTGCGCCGGCCTGAAAGCAAACAAGATGCACACACCTTCAGAAAAATTCTGCGGCGAGCTGCGGAACGCGAATCCCTACGCGGATTCGCATTAGCGATGATTAAACTTATATCTATCACACACACCGCGCCGATGCAATCTACTGTAATTTCTCCCCTGCGATCCGTAATATCTCATCTTTATTTAGACTCATATTTATTTACTTTATCGACATTGGGCCAGGCAAAAGCAGACGACGCGTCTGCTTTTTCCTCGCGGATCACGAAAATCTCCGCGCGTTTAGAATTACATATCTATTTCGCTAGTTGCCATTGATTTTAATTGCCGCCGACGCCAACTCGACTGATGTTGTTTCCAAACTAAACCGACATAATTGCGATATCGCACGCGCGATATTTAATAGCAGAGGAGCCGAAGTACAAAGCCCTGGATGCTTCCATTTACCATGTCTCACCAACTTCCCGATGATTGATTGAATTAAGACGACGTGTGTACGTCTGTGTATGTGTGTGTGTGTGTGTGTGTGTGAAGATCAAAGCGTAGAGAAGCACCAGTCTTTATGCGTACCGCACGAGAGTATCAACTGTCTCACGAGATTAAGTTGATTATACGTGCAGAAGGAAATACACACGTTCCCT